TTGATTACTTTTTGATAAATAATTCGTTCTTATTGCGAAATAGGAGCATTATTTATCAATCTGTAATAAAAGACGTGAGGAAATTCTGTCTTTTTCAAAGGCAAAAATTTTTGAGGCGAAATACCCAACAAAAAGTTTGTAAAAAAAGCATGTTTAGAATTAAGACCACACCAAATTTCTAAAAGCATTTCCCTATGCTAACGCTGATCTTGTATCTCAAATTATATGTTTTTTGCGCTGTACACGCACTTGCAGAAATGAAGAAGACAAACATTTTTGAGGCGAAATACCCAAAAAGAAGTTTGTAAAAAAAGTACTGTGGTTTTTGGCCGAAGAGATTTTCCCATGGCTTTGATTGTTCACGGAGAAAGTCCCTCCTTCCAAAATCCTCAAGATAGAGATGCTTTCAAAGTGAAGTGGAAATGAAATGAGCCCATCGGCATGCGAACGCATGCGATGACAAAGTGGACATTTTGCGTAAAATCTTACTTTCGCTGCAATCGTCGCCTCCAAACCCTGGATTGCACTGGCAATGTCCCATCAAGCATTCGCCTTTGCCACTGCAGCCATTGGGGCAATTATGGGTCATATCGTCAGCCACTTCGGCTTCCAGGGTAATTTCCTGTGCATCTCCATCGTCGTTGTATAGGGAAAGGAACCAGTGGCCTTGCTCCATGTAGTGCGTGACTTCTTTTTTAACAATCGACTGAAAACTCCGTCATTAACTTTGAGGTCCGTTCAATGCGAGATGCAAAACCTACATGAGCAGCTCTGGTCGTTCGCGCTTTGAACCCACTCAACACCTCTAGAATATCGTACTGAGTGTGTGTAGGTAAAGCGTTCCTTCTAGCATAAACGCCTATGCTGGCCCCTCTGGGTATGGTGTATTCGAACTTCACATAAGCGGCCTCTGGATGGTAGAACTGCATGTTCCAGTATCCATAGGGAGGAATTTCTTGCGTCAGCCGTTTGCCTAGGGAGGTTTGGGAGAAGGTCGTGCCGTCGGGGGGAAAGGACTGAGCTGGAAACGTCCTTGCACCTAAAGGCAGACAACCGCAGCTTGAGTCAATGTTCGCAGTTATGTGGAAGGCTTTGGAGTTACTAAAAGCAGTTATTTGGCTTATTTGGTAGCTTGGAGTCTATTTGTGGGTAGTTCAAAGGATGAGCTCAATAGCTACATATTTATGCTTTCTTCTGGATTTACTTGAAATCTCTAAAATGGTTAACGTTGAACAAAATTTTGTTTACTCTGTTCTGTTTTCCTGACTTTTTGAACTGAAAATATTTATTTTCCTACTACAAAAGTTTATTTAAAGTTAGTGCCACCAGAATTAATTTGCATTTTTCTTGAATTATAAAAAGTATAAACAGAATAGAACAGTTTATTCAAAGCATGAAAAACAGGTTTGTAATTTGCCAGCCCGATTTGGAAATCCCGATTGTTTAGCAGCATTTTTTGCTGTAGGTGAAAACGTTGAATTGTGTACTCCATCACGCTAATTCTGTTTCATTGAGAGGTGCAATAAATTTAATTTTATTGATTTATTGATATTATTTTTTATTTCGCCATCTCATCCTACCAAAACCCAATTTAACTGTGTTTACTTCTACTGAGCCTCAATGAAACTGCTGAACAAAATAAATGTTACACGCCCAAATTGCCCCAAATTTGGAACTCGATACATTCTGACTTCAGCGACCGATTTGATTTCGGTTTCAAGTATTGTCTGGTCCAATTATTTTTCTTCATCCACCGTGTTTTTGCGAAAAATTAGTGATTCACATAAAGTTTCTACAGGGCGACGAATAAAGCAAAATAAATTCAAAATTTCTAAAAGTTTGGCATGTTCCTAATAGAGCAAAAAAAAGTTTTTTGGATTTTCCCCCTGCTTTTTATATTTACAGCGTAAAGTAAAAAAAAACTTCCTGGTTTTGCAGTGATACATTTTTCTCTTGGGCCGGTTTCCAGAATCTAAATAGCTGATCTTTTCATAGCGAACTTTTTCACTGTTTCATTTGCCACCCTGCAGAAACTTTATCTGAACCATTAATTTTTTGCAAAGCCACGAACTGATAGAAACAGTCTTGGAAGAGATCGAAAAAGACTTATTTTGCTGGGCAGTTCATTTTGAATTAAGTACATTAACTACGTGCAAGTGCATCATCATCCAACAATCCAAAAACCCGAGCCATGTAAATGCAATGGAAAAAAATTGCAAGCTGCTAACATTTTTATTGGCCAAGTCAATAATCATTATCGGCATAAGCTTAATAAATGTTCAAGCAAAGTAATAGCCAAACGCTAATCGAGCTATGAGATCGAGGAAGCGTGCATCAGATAAGAAGCGCCACCTAAGCTAATGACATATTGGCGAAATGAAGAAAGCCTTTATGGGGATTATTAACGATGGTACCCATAGAGATGGTGATACGGAGGTGCCGTTAGACTAGTAGGGTCATAGATTACATTGGAAAGCTCGTGTGGGACACACACTAGCAGATGATCGTTTTAATTGCTATGAAATTATTCCTATGACGGTTGCATTCAACCCTACTAGCCCTCCTTGCACCCAAGCGATTACCTTCCAATACAAGAATAGTCGGAGGGGGCGGAAGCTTTGTGGTAACTTCCGGACAGTTAGTGGTCCAAACCTCACTAGTCCCAGTGGACTCTGTGGACGACACAGTAAAGTCGGGTTTCCTTTTCGAAAATCCATACTCTTTCGACGAAAACAGCCAGTCATAGTCGTAATTCGACGAGTTGAAATCTAGAAGTTCACGAGAACCGTCTAAGCAAGGACACTCGCATTCGCAAGCGCCACCATGAGGGCTTTCTACAGGCTGCGGGTTAGCTTTATTAGCTTCATGAATGTCAGAAAACGAAGCGCCTTCTTTAGTGTTTAGCTCCACACCCGGCTCGTGTCCATCGGTGGGCACCGACACCGAAAGCACATAAATCGAGTGAGTTTGATGAGGATTCTGGGGATCTGGATCTGTGGAAATTGTCACGTTTACTTGCACCCGCTTTGAAGGAGTGGCCTCAGAACTGGCAGCAGGAATTTCAAAAACTTTCACTGTAGGCTCGGTCACGGGAGTTTGAGACGCTTCCGACTTCCCCTGTTGGATGTAGACGTTTTTCAGACCTGGAGCTGGCGCGTCCCGTTCTGGAGGCTCTGCCAGATTAGCACCGGTGAGTTCTTTAGAGGAATCTGCAAGTTTGCGCTTCTCCTCCCCGCTTGCGGGCTTTTCATACAATAAAATCGGGGAGTCATGCTGGAGCTCGCCAGACTTAACCACAGTTTCATTGACTTCAGCCACATCCACGTCCACAGCTTTAGCGTCCATCACCTCTCCTTCAAACAGAGCCGCATCGCTACTTTCCTCGTTGCTCAGTTCGCCATACAATTCATGCAACTCATCCTCTGTGGTAGGAAGGAGCGTTTCCGTTTTTACCCCGTCAGTTGTCGTTTCTCCCTCAACAGTGCTGATCTCGTCCTCAGACTCAGACACAGTAGGACTATTAGTCGAAACAACGAACACCTGCGTAGAACTCTCAGCCTCATGCAACATAGACCCTCCAGGCCCCTCAGTACTAACATGCAAACTACCTACATGCTCAGAGCTGAAATTCGACACAGAACTACTAGTGGTAGTGATATTTGGAAAAAACACGGCATGCGGTGAACTAACGTCTCTACGTTTTCGGGCATATAGTGGTTCGATGGATTTACCTCCGCTTGATGATGAGGTTGCCGACGAGGGAGGCTTGGGTCGGCTTGATGTGGAGTGATTCGTTTCTGAAGGGGCAGTTTTTGAGGCTGGAATGATTTGTGTGTTGTCGCCAACCAGCACTGAGCACGGTTTAGCGCTTTGATATGACCAGTTGAGGAGGCTGGATGCTGAAATCAGAAAAAAAACGTTAAATACAGTAAAACGGCAACAGTAACACGTATTAAAGGTGGAGAATTGTTGCTTCCTCAGCAGGCTTTTGAATACTCAAAAGGGGTTTTGTTTAGAGACTTGGAGGCGATTCCAACTTCAAAACTTCTGCAGAAGACCAAAATTTGATAGTAGTGATGGAGTTAGTAAAAGTTTTTAAAAGTGCTGGTTCTTTTTGTCCAAAACACTCTCAAAAAGGAAAACGCCAAGAAAAATCCCTTTGAAAGTTATAAATTATCGGACAACGAAAAACTCTTCATTTCAAGACACTCTCGAGAAGCGTTCGATGTCGGTCATTCAAATCATTCACAGTGATCTTCCTCAGTCAATTCGTTTCTGTTCTGTCCAAAGCTGAATGCTTGTAACACTGCGTTCGGCACTAGATCGTAGGTAGGCACAGTGGAAATATATTAATTATTGCATACAGGAAAGACATTGATTCACATTAGCGCCATAAGCAAGTTTATTAAAATCTTCTACTTAGATTTGCCACCATAGAAAACGTTTCACTTATTTCATAATCTTGCTTCTAATATGGTAACCGCATGCCTTAAATGTAGAGCGAGAAAATCGTAATTTTGTCTGCAGTTTATTTCCTTTGCTGAGTACAATAGACAGCATCTACATCGCAAGATAGATATTTTAAGCAGAACTGTAAAAAACATTGGGGAAGGATCAACAAAGGAGATATAAATAGAAAAGTACGCAATAAACAATGTCCGAAGAGCTAAAAAAGAGAATGACTTCGGAACATTTCCTGGAAAAGTCGATAAACCAAAAAATATCAGTAAGGAAAATTTGCGAAACTCAAGCAAAGACAACCCATTAGTAAAACTGAGGAGGCAAACAGTGCTTCCCTAATATTTCTTCAAATCGTTCCATCATGGTACGTAAAATCAGAAAAGAACCAGTTCCCTTTTGCTTGAACGAGCAATTTAACAAAACTCCTTCCTTCTAGTGTTCAAAATAACTCCTTTTCTGTTATAACATTCTCATTAATTATTTGCCACAAGCTTAACAAAAGTCCTACCCATATTCGCTTCGCACCGACCATCTTTAACCACGACTCAGTTCACACAACATTAAATTAATGGAAAACACGGTAGTCGCTGGCGGCCTGTAAAAGGCTTTATCTGAAGATTTGTTTTCTTTATTTCTTTGTTTACTTAACACCATATTGAGAAGCAACATCTGGTTCACCAAGTTTAGCAGTGGTAGAGGAGGTTTCTTTATGGTCGCTTTGTCTTCCAATCTACTCGCTTATTTCATGTAAACCTGCTTTTTTCCCTAGACTTATCGCATGTCAAATTAATTGTGTTAACCGCCAGGAACATGGAACACCCTTCACGTTAATTATATGTTTTTTCAATTTTGATTTATGTTCCAATGCTTCCCAATAACACACGTTTGCATTGTCGATTAATTCACTGATCAGCAGGATACCCACCACCCGTAATCCATCTACCATTAGAAGCCCATTAACTGCCCTAAATGCTACATCCTCTCAGCCCAGGAAACTAGCATAAAGGGTTATAACGAATTCTTTCTGCCGGCATGAAAAAACGAATTAAAAAGCGGATCAGTTTCATACCATTATCCGCAATTGTAACATTAGACCAGCGCTCTTCAAATAAGAAAAAATCAAGTGGAAATCATTTGTAACGCTGGGTTTTTTTCGGGAAGGGTCTTCTTCACTGAAGCCTGTTTAATCCGCCTTATTGTATGGTGCACCCCATCAGCATTTTCGATTTTTACCTGGTCCATATCCCTTGAAACAGCTGTTGGGGCATATGGCATATATGCGGCGTATCGGCCCTAAATAAGGCCCGATGTCAAAACTTTTTGCGTTACAGTTTTAAAGAATTAATGAAGAGGAATGTTTTCAATAGTCTACCACACATGAAAACAACGACAGAACTCCAAGAATGCAATATTTTCTCAGTTGGTATTTGAAGCATCTAAGGGTGGGAAGCTGGAAGGCATTCGATCGACAGATGGCCGGATTGAATATTAAATAACGAATGTGTTGTTTAAATTGTGTCAATTTTATATAATTATTATCGCAACCTGCAAACAGGAATGTTCATCGCGACAAAAATATGCGGTTTATCGCTTTATACACTTTGCAACGGAAGTGACCAGATAACTGACTTTCAACACTCTATTTATAATAATGTAATAAAATGAAATAATAGCAATAAAATTAAATGTTGACCCGTCCATTAATGTTATTCAATGAAATCTTGCTGTATAAATCAATAATTAATCCTCGATGTAAAACAGGCCAAAACCTACATACAAGAATGTTGTTAGGTGCGAATGTGAGCAAAGATCCAGAACATTTGATTCTAAACATTTTCATTTGCGTTTGTGTTCTATTCAATTCAGACTCTTGAGACTTGGAGACTTCTAAGTTCTTCCCATACCCAGCGTTCTTAAGTACACAACTAACACCTAAATTCAATCAAGAAAATCAACACAAACATTAAATAAACTCACACAAGGAAGCAAGGAATAAAAATAACAAATCCAGTTAACCAAATAAAAATACGTAATTCCCTGTGACTTTTCAATAAATACCCAATAATGTGTTTTTTTCTATGCGCTTTTGAAATCTGGAATATTTTCACAATTAAATTCACGCTGGACAGTCAGTCCCGGTGTGTTTACTTGACCAGCATTTTCCTAAAACAAATACTTCAAACCTCAATTTTATAAATTGATGAGTAAACATAAAATCAATCCGCTGTTGGTTTTTCTGCGCTCAAAACGTGCCAGCTAAAATTTATCTAACTCCAAACCCTTTAAACATGGTAAATATGAATAAGAATTGGGTTTTGTTTTCCATCAGGCAATTGTCAAATGCGTCATTCTAATAGCCCCAAATAAGTTTAGGGGTCTTTCCTCTTTCCTCCACCGAAATCCATTGGATCGGTCTATTTTCGGTTTCGACCATTATTTCAATCTGTTTAGTCGTAGGTGGTGCAGCACCATGCAGAGAGATAAATAGGTTTGCACGGATAATAAATGACCCCGCTTGCCGACCATTAAATAATTACGTCTTTTTCATTGACCCTGTAATGGATGGCTGCCATTGCTAAATACGACAAAAATGGACAGTTTCCAGTTTACATGCTGCAAATAAATCAGTTTCATCTACTGCAAAATATTGCCGTTAAATTTGCAATACGGTGCCAAACAGATCAAATGAAAAGTTTATAGTCAAGCTGGGGACGGTGAGAAGCGATATGAACTATGAACAGTTCTCAGAAGAAGCGATTATTTATTTAAGTGGAATTAAGAGAATGCTAAATAATTTAGCAAAGAGAAATCAAGCGTTGTTATTTCCTGAAGGACTCGTGAGAACTGAAGATTAAATCGGAAGGGCTGCGAGTAGTTGAGATTCATAATTTACAAAACATTCCACTGTTGATGGCTCAACAACGTTTCGACTGGCGGACAAAGTTTGTTTTTCTTTCGGTCTTCAAAGGCGTGTTCCATCATCTGGACATTTTTTGCTTCTATCTCTTTAGAGGTTAAAATTTTTATCAAACTAACTAAGTAATAATTTGAAAAAGCTGTAGTAGTAAGAGCCTTCTCAGTCATTTTGTCGCACAATAAATGCAAAAACCCATCTGGAAATACATAAATGTTTCTAAATCTTTCACCTGCTTGGTAAACTAAACAGGTTAAATTTTTTAAACACTTACCCGAAATATATGACAATGCAGCAGTCAAAATCACACACAACACTATAAGGGCTATAGCTGTACATTTCCAGGTACACCTGGAGGCCAGACCTTTCCTAAAGTGGAACCTGGATGCGGCTGGAGGAAAGTGACTGGAATTCGGCCTCCTCAAATTGTTTCGGACGGGTAACACTGGCATTTGACCACCGTAGGAGAGACTGTTGGTGCCCACCACTCCTCCTCCGGCTACTGGGAGTGAGTTCTTCATGTCCTTGGAGGGACTGTTACAGGAGGAGTTCGGTTTGTAGTCGATGACCGAGTTTTTCGAATGATCTGAAACAATCAGAAAGCGTTATGCGAATCGTGTCTCAACCCGTTTCCGTTATTCATAAAATCCGACCATAAATTTTAGCATTCTTCAGATTTCGCAACTAAAAATCCAGCTTAGGGGTATTCAGTTCCGCCGCGGCATTTACCTGGACGATAATCTGCGTCCAATATCAGGACGAATTCGGCTTTAAGAAATCCTTTAATAGCACCTTCAAGGGCCTGAAAATCACCGACTGGAAGGTTCTTTGTTAACTTTACCGGTCATTATCACTGTTTGCTTAATTGTCTTGATACTGCTTCTGTTCAGCAATGGTAACCTTCTGCGAAAGGAACATTAATTTGGCACTTTGACGGCCTTTGAGCTTTGTGCGAAATTTTTGCATTTTCAGCAGATTTCCGGGATGGACTTCAGGTGTTGACTGTCAGATCGCTTGATTTAGTTTTGCGCGGAACCCTTCTGTTGACCTAAATCACAGCGGGTCGAAAATCAGGTCTTTGATCAGAAAAGTTAAGTGTTCCAATGAATCGTTCAAAATAGTAGAACAGTGTTTCATTCTCGTGACATTTATCCAAACCAGGACAATCATCCATTGAAAGATTTTCGGTTGTTCACTCATTTATCATTGTCCAGATTGGGCTAGTAAGAAAGGGGCAATTTGCCTTTTCAGGCCCGTTCAGCCCTTTACTGAAATTGCCGAAAAAGGTCCCCACCCAGCAGAAATCTCTGAGGTGTCCATTCAAAGTACTACTATTTAGCACGAGTGTAGCAAAAGGAACTTTTTCTAAGAAAATGCACTGGCCTGCTTATTAGTTCGGCGGACTTTGATCTCGTACTCTTTGCAACATCCTTCGAGGTCGCAGTTTGCGAATTTCAGTTGGCAATTTTATTTTTGCTAGAACGACTTTAAATCAAATGGAACAAAAGTTCTGATGACATTTTCTGTTTCTGCTTTGTAACAAGTCAATAAAACAAATTGTACCTTGAGCTGTTTCTAAATGCCTTAATTTCATTAGTTATGCCTTAAATTGTTGTTATTGGTGATCGGATTTGCAATATAATGTTTATGGCGTAGATGAACTCGAACTCGTGAAGGCTTATAAGTAAAGCTCTTTAAGAAGAAAAATTTAAAACAATAACAGACATAAAAATAGACTTGTAATTTTTCTCGCATGAGCATTTGTATGTGGTTTGATAAATATGGCAAACTGTTCAAATGTGATAAAAAAGTTCAGTCGCTTTCCAGTAAATAAACGTTTTCTCTATTCGACAAAAGTGGTCTTGAGAATTATAGTGTTTCGTGTAATTTTTTAGCAGAATTATTTACTCATTCAACTCAGGAAAGTAACAGTAAACTATGTTGTTAACCATCTAAACGTTAATTGTTCATTAATCAATTTCTTGCACTTTCGACCTCGCAAATTAGTATATTGTGTCATGTAAAAAATTAGTTATTGCATTTTGTTCCAAAAAAAGTTGTCAGTCGTTAATCTAGCACTGTACGGGCAGTATTAAATGAGCGGATACATTTGCAAAAGTAACAGAAAATCAATAGTTTGCCAATTAACTGAAGCAAATACAAACTATTGGCAAAGAGAATTCATTTTCAGTTTGAGAAACAATTAAAATAAATCATGTTCAAAAAGTCAAATAAAAATGTATTATTTTATTTTGACCGTTTTTTTCATGTTAATTTCCCTTTGATTAGTGGCTGTTCTCTGAAAAATTCAATTTGATGTGTTCTGTTTTCTGAGAAGAGCAGAACAGTGCAGGTAGAACTCTACAATTTAGCAATGTTTTTGTTTGGTTTTCTCAGTAAGTTATTTTCTTACTTATTCTTCAAATTTATTTTTTCTGTTGGTCTCAATTTTGAATCAGTCTTCGGTTTATAGATCGATAAATTGCGGAAAGAAAACGTAAGATGTTTCCGATAAATACGAAAAAAAAGAAAACAAAATTCATTAATTCAAATTGGTAAATTTACCTGAAAATGGTCATAATGATGCTGGACACCGTCTAAAATTTAATGACAAATCCAAACACTTCTTTTTTTAGTCTGATTAAAAAAAACCGCATGAGAACAAGTCCAGGCTGGGAGTTAAGAATAAATTTTCTTATGCAAATTATATCAGTTCTGCAATCGATTTTGCATAATAAATATGAATTAAACTGTCAGCTCAGTTTCATCCTCTAGATCAAATTGAGTTGTTCTTGAACATCTTGGTTTAGAGCGGAAGCTTTGAAGAAAAAACTCAACTTAAGATTTAAGAAGCATTTTCATATGGAACGTTAAATAGTTTCTCCAGTTAATGATACTAATAAAATAATGCGTACTATGGGTTCTTAAGCAACCAAGCCATAATGAGATACCTATTGCACACCAACTGCCTACGAGTTTTTTTGAAATCGAATTCCTGTAGCATGTGGCGTGGCCCTCAATAATTATCCCCGGCCATGTTTGTGACCATATGGAATGTATGATTTTATTATTAAGTGTGTGCAATTATTCCAATAAACCGACCACATGCGTCTTAAGATGTCAGTAGGTTTTGTTTGCATTCAGGCGTCGAAATTCTTGTGCGATTAACTTGTGTACTTCGATAAATCGTAAACTTATTTATACTGGTGCTAATTGCGCAAATAATGAGGGCCGAATTTGATTGCTCGCTTATCTCAATGGGTATCCCACTTAGTCTTGACCTGTTACCACGAGCCATTAACACAAACAGATGGAAACGAAAAAGAAAACAGTTTTTAGACGAACAAAACGGGTACACGATAGGAGCCCCGGTGTACTCATTTCAATATCCTCGGCTGCTTTAAAATTTGCATCCCGAAGGAAGAAAAGGGGATTTCTCTATGCCACAGGCGACTATAGACTGCATTTTTCTTTTGCGGGAGCGTTTCTTTTGATCCAGTTGCATTTCTACACATTTTCAATTCTATAACTTTACGAGACGGGCTCGGTTGCTTGAGATAAATGCGAGTGACGATAGAAGGGGCTCGCTTTACAACATTCCGGAATGCGAAAAACACTAATTTTATTTCCGGCTTTCAACAGCAGAATCTTCCACTGGAGAATCAATGTATCATTTAAAAATAGTCTGTATATTTCTTTGTGTACTCAACATTGCTCGGTTTTCTTAAATTATTTTTGCTCAAAACTGCTGCATGAAAGTTTGTTTGGTTTAAACGAGACACATTATCGGGCGAAATAATATGCTAGTATTTAAATAAAACTTTCACTGGCGAATGGATTGGGAGAAAGAGACCCATTTCACAGCCTGCCAGATCTCCTGGCTTGTCGCCCTTTGATTTCTTTGTGTTGGACGGATGAAAGAGCTGATAAGTATGAAGTGGAGAGTAGTGAAAAGGGAAATCGTCTTAAAACCAGACTTAATGATTCTTTTGACATAGTTTACTCTTAAAGATTTTATGATTTCCAGGCAGTTTTCGACTGAATAGTAAAGGAAGATGGAATAGTAAAGAGGAAGAAGAAAGTTTCTGAAGTTTTCTCGAATAAAAAAATGGCAAACAGCAAAAATCTCTGAAATTTTTCGTAGCGTAAGAACACAGAGCTCTTTTGATTCACAGAATTATCAGGAAAAACAAGGCCAGATCAACATCTTCATTCTTCAACCCACTGATCCAATTTCATAATTCTGAATGATGTTTAAAGAAACAATGAAAATCCCGTGTTTCTTGTGATGTATACTTAAAGCCTTTTGATAAACTTCGACCTGAGAAACTTTTTGCGAATTTTAAACTCTCTGACCCGTTTTCTAAAACTCCAATATATTGTTAAAATGTAATGAGGTACATTTAAAACGATTCTGTTGACGGCGGCAATAAATTGGAGTAGAAATGTGTGGAAAATAAATAGCAACAACTAAACCCTCCAAAATGGTGCAGAACAACGCAAAAATAATGATTGAATAACGAAATATTCCGCCAAGCGGTGTTTTATTTAAGTTTCCGTTATAATTCAACCCTCTAACCTGCCAACCCAACAAATTACCTGAAAAACAATTTCGGAAGAACAATGGCTTTTGTATGTCCCAGCTACTTTGCCTGGAAAGAAACAAATCTGGCCTCTTCCGAAACAATAAACGTCTTAATCCCACGCTTAAAATTGTAAATAAGCCGGCTAAAGATAACGAGCTAATGCAGACAATTAGACCCTCGGCATAAAAATTATCTTGCTCCGTCATTTGTCTGCAAACGTTTCCACTTAGCATCCAATTCGAGGAGAAGTGAAGAGATATTGTATATCTCATTCCCCGGATAGTGGACGTGTTTGCTCGCCTAATCTTAACATAATATTTTCTACCCCAAGAATGATCCTTTGTCCTTAGCAAATTCGGTTATCGGTGCCCTTAAATATTTGTTTAGGCAAAGGTAGTTGTGCCAAGTTCATCTTCGCCATGCCCGTAACCTTCGAGGATGTTTTCCTGCTAATGGGAATCGTATTATATCGAATATAGACCGAAATGTGACAGCTAAAACTTGTTAACAGCTTCATAATATCGCGTGAATGTTATCTTGGGATGACGATAGAATTGAGTCCGAAGCTGCCTGCACAATAATTTTCTCACGTTTTGTCTATCACTTCTAAAGACATTTTGAGTAAAATTTTCATGTTTTACGCTTGCTAATTTGAAAATTTAATTCTGAGGACTAGAAAAATTCGAGTACAATTTACGCTTTTGCTCACCGCTTACATGCAAATATTCTTTAAAATATTTGAGACTGAACTCAGTAACTGTATAATTAGAAGAAAATGCACTTGCAGATGTGGACTGAGCGAAACAAAAAAAGTTAGCAAATAATACATGGTAATAATAACCTAATTGCAACCCAGATTACTAAACAATACAACACATGGCATGGATTCCCAGCATTTTATTTAATTATTTGATGCCAGCCATATGTCGGGCCCATGCCAGTAGATGAGTTGCCTGAACGAAAGGCCTTTAACGTAAAGACCGCGCCAGAAGAATAAAAAAAGGGCCGATGTAGGTAAAATTTATAATAATAACCGAACCTGCATGGTCGAAAATGCTTTGACTTCGCTGGCCATCTGATCTGGGCTCCAATAATTATACCTGTTCGCCTAAAGTTAATATACGAATATAGAAGTTAATAACGAAAATAATAATCAGAAAATCCCAAGCTGTTATGATGAAGATGACAGAAGTTAAAGAGATAGACTTTCGAGGCTATTCCTTGAAGCAAGTGGGCTTTTCGGGTTTTGAAGCCATCGTAAAATGGAATTCCTATCTGACGTTTCGCAAGCACGAGTGGCTTGTATCTTCAGAGGTGGTTTGCTGAACGCTTACATAAAACAGTGGAAGCCTTCAGTGACGGCCGAAAAACCCACTAGTTTCATGACAGAAGTTGTTAGTAATATTTTCTGTTATCAAGGTGCTTTATCCACCTGTTCGCATTAGCTCTTGTTTTGCGTAAAATAAAATTAAATGTTTTGGCAATAAACACAGAGTAAAATTGCCAAAAAAGCATTTCAGTTTTACTTCTAATTTCATTCAACTAAAAGCAGTGCGTTCCAGTTTTGAACGCCACATTTTTTGGCCCTAAATAAAATCGATTAATTTTTCTTTTCCACTCAGTTATAAGCATCTACAAATTCCAGTTTTATTTTATCTGCACAAATCATGCACTTCTGTTCACGGTAGAAATACTGGACTGGCAAATAAAAACTTTTGCCCAATTGAACAGGCTGGAATTACAATAAATCGCCTGGTTCAGAGTGATTAAAAAAGCAGCATTTCCATTATATTTAAAGGAAAAACAATCTAAGCCAAAAATCAGAATACCTGAAAGGGTAAATGCAAAATTGTCGTTAATGGCAACTTTTTTGCAGTGTAGGAAAAATCATGTTTCGATTGAACTACTGGGGCTAGAAACACACGGGAAACAACGTTGCTATTTTGTCGACATGTTAATTTATTAAACATGATCAGAAGTTTCAAGTCAAAGGATTCTACTTTAACTAAATGGAATCTCGCGGGTCGACAAAAGCTGAAACGGTCCAAGCCCGTCCAATAATGGAAAAAGCCCGTTTCGACCAACAGCCCATCAATGGCTAAAGTATGCCAATTTAAAAACAATAACTTGTCCCGAATGTATACATTCCGCGCATTACCGATTCAATTTTAACACAGAATTTCGCGCAAATAGTTTCGTTCCGAGTTCCGGCATGCACAGAAATTTTCCAATTTCAATTTCTAAATAGGCCGTCATTCAGTTTCGCGCTCGATTGAATAAAAAATCTATTAGTTTTACGGTTACGGATTTGGAAATTGACGATATAGCGATGGTCAAATATGTATTAATCCATAAGGTAATTTATGGGTAACACGCATTCTTGGCCGGTTTGCGCGTATTCTGTTGATGATTTATAATTTTATCCATTTGGATTCCAGACAAAAATCAGCATAAAATAGAAGAGAAAAAGCGACAGCACAAAACAACAAAATTAAAATATTTTAAGCATTAAAGAAGGAATCAAATAGACTCACTCAAAGTTCCACTAGGTATATACACATTTCCAGATGGAGTTCTGACCAAACAGGAGGGCTCAAAGTCCTGATTGGGATCCTGAGGAGGGGCGGAGGCCAAACGGCCGTTCAGCCTGCTCATTGTGGGGTTTCTGGGGGGCACATCTGGGGGTCGCGGCGCACTATCTAATAAACAACCTGAAACAAACGAAACCGAAAATAAATATCCCGATTGGTTGAGCAAGAACATAACAGATAAAAGTGGACGATTCGAGGCATTAAAAATATTTTCATTAAGTTTTACGGCCGACAATCGCGGGTTTAATTTGCTTTTGAAGAAACCTTTCAAAAATGCCCATTAAATCAAACTGCCAATTTAATTTAATTCGTTTCCAGAAATGACATTATTCTCCGTCTGCCCCCCATTAACCTTTCCATCGTCAAAAAAACAATTTCTAACATTAATTGACAAGTTTCAGTTATCAGTCGATGAGTGATTGTTTGTAAATATCCAGAAATCACTTCCTTTATTTGCGGTTTTTCAATATTTAATGCTTCAACTTCTTTGGAGTTCGATCGTTAAAATCCAGCAACTAAGACCGGAAGTTTACACGCATAACTTTCAAGTGTTTTCATTAACAACCGCTCCTAGATGATCGCTTCAGTTCTCACACACACTTAACTTGGTATTTGATAATCTGGTTTATGACGGAAAAATTATACATGTTGGCCCTCTGTGGATTTTTGGAGTAAAACCGATGCACTTAAAGAAATTAAAGAAGCAAACGCCTTGGCCATGGACAAGTTATCCAATTTTGAAAAGTGATAAAAATTAAAATATACAGCCAAAAACGACCCTAGCTGATGCATAAAGAATATTTCTAGATCTCTATCATACACATTGTCTTGAGCCACCTCGCCCAATGACTCGACTCTTTGGTCCCCACGTGTTGTTGATATTTGTTGAAATTTTCCCAAAGAATAAGTGGCTCCGATCGCACGATAAACAATAGAAAAGCCCCATCTAGTGCCATTTAATCCCATAAATTGTGCACTATTTATTTTTTAAATCCCACATCATCGAGCAACAGCCATTAAATCCAGTTGCATAAATACATATAGTGCCGTTAATAACCAAAAACACGCTCGTTCATCACTGGAGAACACGAAAATAGATTCCTAAATTAGAACACTTAAATCTTGCAGCTCAATTGACAAGCATCAAGATGTTTCCAGCTTGTTATAATGGCGATTTGGTGTTGGAAGAAATCGTCAGGGATCAATCAAATGTTGAATTGAAGCATTGTCCGGCGACATCAGTATTAATGGCGCACTTTACATCAACTTCTCGGAATAATTGCCCTCATATAACCCCTTTTCTCCTAATTAAAAAATTGATCTCGATTTTTGTGCCCGGACCTTATCAGCAGCGGCTGATGATGTATTGTCTATATAAAAGCATCGCTTCCTTTTACAGCCTTCGCATCTGTAACAATATTCAATATACAATCGACTGTATCAGCTGTAACAAACACACTTTAATTAAAGAAGCCATTAATCTCATCCTAACCAAGATGGAGTTACGATCTCATTTTCTATATTTAGACTTTGTATTTATCGCTTTTTGAAATGGATAGCGAATGCTTCTTGGATAGTACGATCTGTGAAAGACGCAATTGTTTACCGCAAATAATTGAAATCATGCTCTGTAAATGAACAAAGAATTGTTGTGGTCCAAGTAAAAAATCTATCTGTCTATAGTCTATATGTTCAAAAGATGCTAATGGACGATACGGAAGAAAGGCACAAAGATGATTCAACTTAAAAAAGGAACTGAGTATCTAACAGTGTTTAATGTCGCAAGTTGGGTTGCAAAACTCAAAAGGCTTGAAACTGAAAGTCCAGTTTTACTTAACTGCGGGAATAAAAATTGACTTTTCAAATTTCCTAACCAGATCATTGAAATCCTGATTTTTCTAGCTGAAATGTCTTTTGGGATATCAATGTCGACCAAATCATGGATTTTTAGGAACAAATCACTGAAAAATACGAAGGGATGGTTTCTACGAAAGAATCACTAACAAAGATCCAGTTGCATTCCTATTATGCACCTGCACAATAGAAAGTAATCAACACATCAATTACTGTTTATTCAAGTTGATATTAATTATCTTTCCGGCTATTTTAAGGCGCCAGGACTAGCCAAAAAAAATTCTTCTCGCCTTAAGCCTGATTTATTTACAGCAAATCGCCTTGGGGGCCAACTGGAATTGCACATACTAATGGCAAATGACAACTAAATCGCATAATTCCTGCTTTGTGCAATAGTGAATACATTAAGTAGTAATGTGTGATACATAATGGATTACGCCTAGAAAGAGCTGGCCGCCGACTGTTGATTGTAGTTGAAAAGCGAAGATAATCTGAAAATGGTAATTTACCAAACGTTGGCTGCAGGAAGTGGCTCATTTTAAGTTAAAAATGGTTGAAATTTTAACGAACTAAGCAACTTGAAGAACCGCGACCAAGTAATATTTTGGAGAGTGGCTTCAAATGATTGGAAACGCATGGTGATTAATGTTCCTGGAAAGAGTAGCAAAAATATGCCATTTTGAGGAAATCAACAAAGCATCAGCTGCAACAAACAATGAACTTTTCGACAGGCAATGTTCTCATTTAGAAGCATACCAAATGGTTCTAAAACATTTGCCCAAAGCGGATTTTCATCCAACATTCCTGCTTCAATGCTTTGATGAATGAAATCAACCTTAAAAAAATCATTAAGTGCCAACCATAATTTTTAATAACGATCTAATTTAATTTATCACCGTGTGGAAACTATAGCTTTGTTAATGCCCGTCAAAAACCTTGACGAAACCTACACGATTCATTTAACGCATATTCTACCATAACTCCGTTCTAGCGTATACGGACCGTAAAATTGTTGTTATGGAATCCAGCCCCGTTAATAATTCGAAACACTCATTATGGAACCAGAATCCTGGCTGAAATAAGTATTAATAACCGTGCAGTTTACGTATTAATATAAGACATTAATAGGTTAAGTTCCTAGGGAAAATGCCGAGGGTAATGTTGCAGTTTCACCATGCAATTTCGAAGTTACTCAGTGTGTTTGCTGTGTGGAGGGCCTGATTACTATTTAATCACGATCCAGAGAAGATCCAGGAAAACTGCACCAAACTACAGGAAGAAAACTGAGATTTTCTACGGTCACTTTCTCCCAGTAAAAGCCATCAATTAGCCACTTTTTGATGTTAATTAGAAAAGCCAATAAATCGTCAAATTGCCTGCCATTCGCTTAGTGTGCTTAGTTAATCGCCTAATAATCCTTTGCAAGCACCGGTAATTAACACTCGGGGTTTATTGTTTGCGTCCAATCATTAATACGTGTGAACTGAGACGCCAAACATCAAAACGAGAAAGCGATCAGGAAAAAGTAAAATCACCAAAATAGCCTACAATCGAGAGCTGATGTAATTAAATAAGCTGAGTGAAAAATAGTCGATAGATGAAGCATCGTAACTTGACACAGTAAATCGTAAAATTCGTCTACCGAATTGTCTGGACCAGCTGTCAGCACCTGTTCCAGCTCAAAATAAAGAAAGAGACGCAACCCAAAGAGTTTGAAAATAAACTTCAGCTTTAAATAAATATGCTTCGGGAAAACGAACTTTTCATGAGAGTTTTCGCTTAGATGGCGTAACAGGCCAGCTCTAATACTTGCATTGTATCCAACTTGGTTTAGGTAGTTTATTAGTGACAGAAGCAAACAATACAAGGAATCCACATAAGTTTCAAACGAGTTGGAACATGGTGAAGTTTCTTATTCTATTGCAGCGTATACTTAGAGATTTCCTAGATAACATCATTGGTCTGATATAAGTAGATAAACTACATGATAAGCTCTTTTTTATGCTTGAGCAAGAAGAATAAAACTGAATAGATTTCTCATGAAGCGGAGATTCTCTTCGATTATAGTTCAGACTTAAAAATGTGAGTTTGAAACATCGTTTCATACAAGAACCTTAGATTTGATGTTGAAGATCGATGCCTTATTTCCTTAATTCATAACTATTTTTAAGCGGTTTTGAAAAAAAAGTGTGCGTACGGTTTGATTTATAAGAATAATACTCCCATTAATGTCACTGTCTAGTGAATATTTATCGGCTAAAAGGCATAGATCAAGTTTAAACACCCACACATCGCTTCTGAGTTAAAATTGGAAGTATTTTAAGAAGTTTAATTTACTGGATTAAAGTTGAAATCGACGAAAATTCAAGATTGTTAATATTTGAAGAGTTTGAAGTTTGAGCTTTGAGCTTTGGAAAATCTGCATGTCCTCAAAATGTCTTCAGATTGAATCTTCATACTGGTTGAAAAACCCTTTAGGAAAATTGCAAAGACCGAACTCACTTTTGCTCCAAATTTTTAATTATCAACTTAAATACTTGCAAGGTTCGGTTTGTGAATTTTGAAATACAGATTTTCTGCGATTTCGCTCACCATTCGATTCGACTTCTCGAAAAACCGTTGTTTGTACATTCAAGACGCAAAAAAATGTTAGGTACTTTGAAAATTTCGATATCTTATCTAAATGGATTTGAAAATGTTTGAATTTTCTGAATTTATGGTTTCGACCGATCTCGATGAGTTTCCCGGTGCTCAGTTTTCTGTTAAATTCGCAAATCGGCTTCACATTTGCGCAGTATTTTCTTTAGCCAATCGATTTTGCAGTAAATTATCAAATAAATAATAAATATTCATATCCACCCGGAAAATCAGGATTATAATATCTGAACAAATACACATTTTGAAGCTGTGAGATTAACAGAACCATAACAGCTCTTTGCCACATTTTATCATAAAACCTTCAAGAAAAATGTATAGTGCACCTGATTCATTCTAGTGAAGAAAAATTTCCAACGGGGAACCTTAAACCCCACTCAATAGAGCGATTTCTCACACATTTAACTAACCCAAACTGTCAATTTCGCCCACCAAATTTGAGAAATGTTGCGGTCTTTTAGAGCTACCTGAACATTGCGTCCCTCCGCGAAAACTTTTCTGAAATTGCCCACTATTTCAAACATTTTGGAGTTTTCAAGCAAATCAAACTTGAAAACTAAACATCTCTTCTAAATTGCCTCGAAAACTCATTTTGTATGCATCGAAGTTAT